CATGGCCCTCCCAAGGCAGCCTTCCCTCCCGTCCTCCATCTCCAGAGTGTTTCACTTTCCCAGATGTATGAGAACTGACACCTCCATCACCCGGGACCCACTGGGGCTTACAGGGCCCTCTGGGTAACTTGTGTGGCCCGACTGCCCTCTGCAGTCCAGCCTGGGCTCTGCACCAACGTCCAGGGGCCGGGTACTTGCGTGTGTCTCCCCCTAGTGGTCACTGTGTGTCCAGACGGAACCTCGAAAGGGTTGCCCAGTAGAGGACAGTTGAGGCTAAGGGTATCTAGTCAAGGATCGTGGAGGCTTAAATCTTCCAGGGAAAAGTCACCCTCGGCTCATCACTTCCCGGTGATGATGTCAGCCCCTGGCAAGCTGAGAACAGGCGGCTCACAGGCCGAACTGTCGGCTTCTGCAGGAAAGCTGATTTCAAGAGCCAGGGAGTCTGTTTGCTTTCTGTTTACAGCAACGGGGTGCTGAGAAAACTCTTTGAACAATCTGAAACTTTGAGCGAGGAGCCCTGGGGCGCATGGGTGAAGCCGGGAGACTGCACCAGAAGGTCCAGAGGAGCAAGACGAGGCGGGCTGGTTCCGTGCAGCTTACAGCCCCGGGACTCCACAGGGCAATCTTGCTCTGCCCCAAAGCATCCCTCGCCTCAAGTTGGAAAAGACTCAGTGGCAGGGGATTTGGGACTTTCAACCCTCCGAGGCTGGCCCCGAACCCTCTGCTCTCGGCCAGGCCTCGATCAAAGCACGGAGAGGACCCGAAGAGCCACCTCATCACTGGGCTCTCCAAGAAACCTCCGGCCAGAGCGCAATGGCTCATGGGCAGAGGGCACGACTTGCCGCCCCCAGCCTCGCCACACCCTATCTGCTTGCTAAGAGGCGGGGAGGGAAGATGAGGAGGAGACTGGGGGTGGCCAGAGGGTGAAAGACTCTACTCAGTAAATGAAAACTGGGGCGCCCTCACTGCCGCACATGGAAGACTTGAGGCTTCGTATTTTCCAGAGCTCATCCCTTTCTTTGGCTTTACTTTCTGTGTCTGTTCCCAGAGCGGGACAAAGCTGACACAAGCCAGCCAGGGGCCAGGCCCTTAAGGGGCAAGTGCACTGCACTCAGGGGAACATAACACACATTATGGAAAAGGTGATTGAAATGACTGCCACTTGCCTCCTAAGCACGTGAACGTCGGACGCTGAGTAAGGAAGACTAAAGAAGAATGGATGCGTGTGAACTGTGGTGCTGGCAAAGAACACTGAAAGTACCACGGACCACCAAGAGAACAAACACACAAATCTGTCTTGAAGAAGTACAGCCAGAGTGCCCTTCCGAGGCACAGATGGTGCTATTTCCGCTCACGTACTTGGACGTGGTGTGAAGTGGCCCGTCCCTGGAGAAGGACATTGTGCTTGGTCAAGTGGAGGGCAGCGGGAAAGAAGAGGGCCCCCAATGAGACGGGTTGACACAGCGGCCGCAATACTGGGCTCAGGATGAACGTGAGGGGCACAGGTCCAGGGAGGGTTTCCTTCTGTTATACACACAGTCGCTGTGAGTTGGACAGACTCAACGGCCCCTAACCACAACGAGGAAAAGTCGGTTTCTTACAGGCAGCTTAGGGAGCAGTGAGTTTATGCTGCAGAGGGGGGAATAACTAGGGAAAGAAGGGGGCAGGAAGACTGAACAACTCAAAGGACACAATCAATGTCACAGAATTGTACGTGTAGAAACCTGAATGGGTCGATTTGCCTGTGTGTATTCTCAACCATCAAGATGAATTATATAGCTCAAACACAAACGGTCACTGAGTGGATTCCAACCCTTCCCAGCTCTGCAGGAAAGGGCAGAACAGCCCCTGTGGGTTCCCACGTCTGTAACTCCTCACGGCAGTAGAAAGCCTTCTCTCTCTCTGGCAGAGCGGCCGGTGGTTTCCAACTGGTTAGCAGCCCAACGTGTGACCACTCCCACCAGGGCTCCTTTCAAATTATAGATACACAGGGGGAGAATAATAGCAAAGAAGAGTAAGTGCTGCCAAGGAAAAACAGCGAAGTCTGTCTCGGAAGAAGTCCAGTCAGAATGCTCGTGAGACAGGACGCTGGGGAGACTTCCGCTTACTTTTCGGACATGGGATCAGAAGGGCCAGTCTCTGGAAAGGGCCTCAGGCTTGCTTGGTCGAGAAGAAGGTCAGTGACAAAGAGGAAGACTCTCAAACTGCGGCTGCCACAGTGACCTCACACGTGGGCACGACTGAGAAGCTGGCCAGGTGCTTCATTCTGTTGTATGTGGGTGGGGTGGTGACGAGCTAAAATCAACTCAACAGCACCTAACAACAATGTGTGTACTGAATGTATATTATGTGAACACATGTATGTGTGCACATGTCAATTTCTGTGAGTGTGTGTGCACGCAAGCGTGTGTTTGTACATGCACAGAAACGGAGCCCTGGTGACACAGTGGTTACGTGTTGGGTTGCTAACACCAAGGTCAACAGTTTGAAACCACCAGCCACTCTGCTGGAGAAAGACAAAGCTTTCTACTCCCATAAAGACATACCATCTCAGAAGCCCACAGGGGCAGTTCTACCCTGTCCTCTAGGGGTCACTATGAGTTGGAATCGACTCGATGGCAGGGAGTGTGGATATACAATTCCATGTCTTCATGAGGAAAATACTTGGGCTAATTTCCACTTGTTCAATAGTCTGATTACAGCCTAAGTCCAAGTCGGCTTGTGGATACAATTCCACGTGAGCAAGAGGGTCCAGCATCGACTTAACTCTCAGAAACCTAGCCAAGGGGCACCCCCAACTAAGCCTACCTGTCTCTGGGGACATCCAGGGCCGTGTTGTAATCTGGGGGGCTCCCCGGCAACATGTTGAACAGCAGGTGATTCATACCTCGGTCCCACCTATTAAGAAATTAAATACACACACACACACACACAAAAATAAAGAAATTAAACAGAGGAGAATTCCCATACCGACTGTGAAGAAACAAAAGCAAGAGGTGGTTAATGAATTTATTAACCCTAAGTGTCCCCAAGCCAAGGCAGGGCCCCTTCTCAGGCATGCAGAGTGAATGTCTGGGAATCCCCATGGGATATTGGGTCTGAGCCTAGATCCTCCCCAAAGGAAAAATGGGTGAGTGTGTGCTCTAAACTTGTCCACGACAGACCCATGGACACGAGAAAAACCCCGAAGAAGACACAAAACTTAAAACACAACCTAGAAGGAAAACGAGGGAGCCACTCGCATATCAGGGAACATCTCTGAAGTGAAATGCTACCCAACTCTGACAATTACGCAGGAGAAAAATAGAAACTGTTTGGAAATACATTCATGATATATTGAGAGAAATGCAGCAGGTCAAGAGCATGGGCCGTGAATACTACATGGATAGGTGTGTGTGCAGTGGGGGGGGGGGGGGGTGTTCAGAAAGTTCACAAAAAAATGGAATTGAAAAATAGTAGGATTTGTCCACACATTTTTGAAGACCTTCACACATATGTGTTTTAAAGGGTGGGAGGTCACATTGGACCATTTCTCGTTTGCTACAGCTCTCTCTTTGAGCAAGGCTATGGAATGAGTCTATGTTCTTTTTGCTGGCTTGTCTCTCCAGTCTTCCTACAGTAAACATGCATTAGGTCAGAAGGAAAGGGATATGATTAAACGATTGAATTGTGTGGTGTGGTGTGGGGCTTATGTGCCAATAAAACTGTTCAAAGAAGTAGGAAAGGGCGGGGAAACTATTTTTAAAAAGGAAAGCAAACCTTGCGGAGCTGGGAACCCACAGCTCTGGGACTGGAGCCCAGATACTGACAGCATCCAGCTCCTGCTACCCGGGGGTCCCTCATCCGCAGCCCCTCCTGTGAGAGAAGAGCCAGCAGCTGAGACCAGCTCATGCAGCGGAGCCTCCCCTAGTTTCCCCTCCCATGGGTCCCCAAGGACCAGTCTGGTAACCCTTGGGCTCTACTCTGCTAAGAGCGCTGGATCGGATATCTAACACCGTAACAGTTCCTCTCCCTTGTGATGCCTTTTAAATTCATTGCAGTGTTTAATATTTTCTGCCTTCTTTTCAATGAAAGTTTTTCTGTTCTACTTTGGTGATAGTGGTGATGGTTTGTGTGTGTGTGTGTGTGTGTGTGTGTGTGTGTCTTGTTGTTTTAATACGTGTTTCTGGATATGAAATCCAGGCTAGGTAAAATACAGAGTCTACAGAGGCAGTCACTGGAAAAGACCAGGCTTTCTACTTCCGAGTTACAGTCGGGGCACCTCCCGGATTGGACAGCTCTACCCTGTCCGATTGGTTCACTAGGAGTCGGCACCGACTCTGTGGCAGGGAGATCGGATTCCGAGGTGGAGGGCTATGGGGTGGAGGTCTGTGGCATGGCGGGCTGGTGGGCGGACGTGGGGTGCGAAGCATGAGCCCCAGAAAGAAGAAAGTGTTCTAACAGGGGCTGTGGTGATGGCTGCACGACTCGGCTTACTAGGACGCCCTGTGTGTCAATCACAGTTTGCAAACATCAACAAGCAAGCAAGCAAACGCGGGTGGGTGGGCGGGCGAGCGCGCACGCGCGCAGGGGCACTACCTGGCGAGCTGGGCCAGGGCCTGCGCGGTCTCCTTGACGCGCAGCGCGTTCTGGTTCAGCACGTCCACCGAGGGCACGAAGAGGCAGGCGCGGCCGATGTCGTCCGTGTAGTAGTCGCTGTCCGCGATGGCCGCCAGCAGCTCGTTGTACTCCCGCGAGAGGGTGGTGCCCACCGGCGCGCCACTGTCGTCCACGTACTTCTTCAGCGGGTAGATGTACACCTTGATCTTGTTCTTGGGGTTGAAGCCGCAGCGGTACACGTCGAAGCACGTGTGCATCCGGCAGCTGAGGTCCCCGCGCTCGGGGATGGGGCTGTCGGCCGGCAGGCGCACCACCGGCACGGCCCGCACGCTGCGCTTCTCCACGCCCCAGTCGCTGGCCGACTCGATGGAATGGGGCCAGAACTGGAACACGCCCGTGGCGATGAGGCCCAGCAGGACCACGGAGAAGAGCGCGATGTAGTAGATGCGGTGCTTGGTCTTCATTCTGGGGATGAGGGCGGGTCCCCGGATGTTGTACTTGACCGACGCGCACATAATGGCACACACAGCCTCTGCGGCACGCTCCTGGCGGGGAAAGGAGACAGGGCCAGGCCAGTGACCAGGGAGGCGAAGGACGCCGGCCTACCTGTAGATTTCATTTAAGTGGCTTGCTAAAATAGCGTTGCCCCTGAAGAAATGGGATTTTTGCCCCTTCTCATAAATACATACAAATTTGTATATATTTGGAGTATATGGAGAATAAATCTATATTATATTTAAGATAGGTATCACTAACTAGAAATACTTAACATATACCCCAAAGGTAAATCCATCAGCCGTGGAGTTGAATTCTCTCAGTGACCCTACAGGACAGGGCAGAACTGCCTGCCCCATAGGTTTCCTGCGGCCATACTCTTTCTGAGAGCAGATGGCCCCATCCTCCTCCCACAGAACAGCCCGTGAGTTTGAATCATGGGCATTTCTGGTGGCAGCCAAGGCTCTTGATGTAACAGCAAACCCAGTCCCACGGCCCAGGAGTGAATTCTGACTCACAGTGACCCCGTCGTACAGGGTTTCTGAGGCGGCAGATCTTTCCGGAAACAGACAACCTCAACCTCTTCCCAAGGCGCCGCTGCCGTGAACCACCGGCCTGGTGGTTAGCAGTCTGACGCTTACCGAAGAGCGCCATTCTAAATTCCCAGAAGGCCTGGGATGACAAGTGAGGCTGGGGTAGGAAGGAGAGAGGGCACTGAGGGAAGTAAATGTTAAGAGGGGAACTGTCACCCTTTTTTTTAAACAATTGCCTAGGAAAAACTGGTTCTTCATCTGCACGGTGTGACAGTTTCTAAAATCGGGTCTCATTCTCGTGCCTCATTTAGTCCCTCAAACTATTAACCCACGGGCTGTCAGGAAACAAGAGTGAACACAAAAGGCACCGCCATCGAGTTGATGCCGACTCGTAGCGACCCTAGAAGACAGGGCAGACCTGCCCGGTGGGCTTCAACCTGATTCTTTACTGGAGTAGAAAGCCGCATCTTTCTCCCTGGTTGGTTTCGAACTGAACTGCTGACCGTTCAGATCCCAGGCCTCCTGGTGAAAGTAACACACACTACCTTGGAAGAACTAATAGTCTGACGTAAAAATCCCCCCAGAGAAGTTTGGATAAAGTACAAAGGGTTACTGGCAATAACTACTCTTTAAGGTGATCCTTCAGCTAAAAGGCGGTAGTCGGTCTTATCTGATGCAAGGAGAAAGGAGAAGGGAGGCGGAGACGAAAGAAAGGCCGGGATGGGAAACACCAGCCCTTCCTCCCACCCATGAACACGTGGCTGCTTCCCTGTGGAGCTGAGCTAGCCTCCAGGCTTGCTTTGACCAAGAGAATTTAGCAGAATGTGACAGAAGCGACCTTCTGGGACTGCTGAGGCCAGCCTACAGGGCAGTGGTTCTCAACCTGTGGGTTGTGACCCCTTTGGGGGTAGAATGACCCTTTCACAAGGGTCGCCTAAGACCATTCAAAAAACACGTATTTCCGATGGTCTTAGGAACCGAGACACCACTCCTCTATCCATCTCCAGGTGGGTCCGCCACATACAGACAGGCTGATCTATGAGAAAGAAGCTATTTCAGCCTTCTCACTGTTGTTGACTTTTTATGTATACTGTCGCAAAATGTAGCAATGTAGTTTACTGTAGCTATATTAAGACTGTTACCCATGCTACACCATGCTTCAAGACAAAAGTTCACTTGTCATTAGAAATACATATTTCACAATATATAATTACATATTGTTTTGTGATTAATCACTATGCTTTAATTATGTTCAACTTGTAACAATGAAAATACATCCTGCCTATCAGATATTTACATGTGGATTCATAACAGTAGCAAAGTTACAGTTATAAAGTAGCAGTGCAAGTAATTTTATGGTTGGGGGCGGTCACCACAACCTGAGGAACTGTATGAAAGGGTCTCCGCATTAGAAAGGTTGAGAACCACTGCTATAGGGAGTCTCAGAACTTGGGCCTTTGTCTCTTGTAGCCCAGCAGCCATGCAGTAAAGGAAGCTAAGCCGATTTGGGCTGCAGGGGAGACCAGGAGGGGCAGAGAGAGCTATTCCCACCAAGTTCTGTGCAAAAGACACGATCATTCACAAATAAATGGTGCTGATGGTGGTGGTCACTGCTGTACTGAGCCAATAACTTCTGGAGTGGTTTGTTACCAAGCAACAGAAACAGGAAGCATCCCAAGAAGCATCACTCACTGGCACAAAAAGATCTTTAGTCTTCAGCTGAAAATGCTGTTTCCCTGTAGACCACAATGTAAGATCCTTACCCACAACCACAGCTGATTGGATGCCTAGAGATGGGGGGGAGTGGGGGGGAGTAGGGGCTTCAATGGGATAGTGTCATCTGCCACAGATCATCTTACAGCCACAAGCTACTCTGCCAAAGTTCTGATCTACAAAATGGTCTTCTACTCGCTGACCTTTCCGAACAGCCGTGGAAGGAAGGAAGACCGTAGGAGAATCAATGCGTCTGAACTGTGGCGCAGGTCAAGAATACTGACAGTACCAGACCGCCAAAAGGACAAACGCATTTGTCTCGGACGAAGCACCATCAGAATGCTCCTTGGAAGCGAAGATGGAGAGACTTGGAGCTGCAGGAACCACGAGGAGACTCATGTCAGCACTAAGATGCTTCTACTGGATCCACAAGACTTTCCACCCACTAGCCTGTGATCTCCCTGCACTCGGCATCACTGCATGTGTTATGTGAGTCTGAAGAGGAATTCACTGACTGGTATCAGACATATGGGCTACTATTGGATTTAAGGACTTGATCTGGACTGGGCTGGGATGTTTTCTTAATATACAATTGCTCTTTGATATAAAGCTCTTTCTTATACACATATGAGCATCTCCCTAGATTTGTTTCTCTAGTCAAGCCTAACACAACTGCAGTCTTTGAACTTCACCACCAACAAGTGTTTCAAGTCCTCCTCACTTTCAGCAGAGCAAGATCTTATTGTCTGCATAACAAACAAAACTCACTACCATCGAGACAATGCCGACTCATAGCAACCCTATACGACAGGGTAGAACTGCCCCAGTAACAGTAACTCTTACAGGAGTAAAAGGCCCCATCTTGCTCCCACAGAAAAGCTGTGGTTTCGAACTGCTGACCTGTGAATTGTAGCCCAATGTGTAAAAACTACAGCACCAGGGCTCCTTTGTCTGTATATGACAGGTTGTTAATAAGCCTTCCTCCAATCCTGATGTTTTTCTTCATATAGTCCAGCTGCTTGTTTTATTTTGCTCAGTATACCAATTGGCTAAGTATGGTGTAAGGATATAACCCTGACACACACTTTTCCTGATTTTCAGTCATGTTCAAATGATTGCTTCTTTGGCAATGTATAGGTTCTACACAAGCACAATGACGTGTTCGCTAATTCCCATTCTTCTCAATGCCACCGTCATGTGTTACAACCCACACAAATAGATGCCTTTGCACAGTCAATAAGGCACAAACGATCATCTTTCTGTTATTCTCTGCTTTCAGCCAAGATCCATCTGACATCAGCAATATCCCTCGAGCCACGTCCTCTTCTGCATCTGGCCTGAACCTCTGGCAGCAACCTGTGACTATTCTGCTGCAATCGCTGTTGGATGCTTGTCAGCAGAAGTATCTGCATGTGACACCAATGATACTGTGCTCTAATTTATGCATTGTGTTGGGTCACCTTTCTTTGGCATGGCACAATTAGGGATGCTTCCAGTCAGTTGGTCGGTTGCTGTCTTTCAAACAGCTTGACATGGATGAGTGAGTGCTTCTGGTACAGCTTATTGGGACATTTCAACGGGCGTTTCATCCATTCCTGCAGCCTCGCTGTCCTCTAGTACCTTCCGTGCAGCTTGGACTTCTTACTGCCATACCATGGTTCTTGACCATATGCCACCTAATGAAATGGTTGAATGTCAACCAGTTCTTTTTGGTGCGGTGACTCTGTGTCTTCTTTCCCTCTTGTTTTGATGCTTCCTGCATCGTCGACTATTCTGCCCTTAGGATCTTTCACTATTGCAACTCAAGGCTTGAATTTTTTTTTCTTCAGTTCTTTTGGCTGGGGAGATGCTGACGGTGTTCTTCCTTTTGTTTTTTCTAACTCCAGGTCTTTGCAAGTTTCATTATACTTCCCCCAAAGAGGGCAGATAAAGAGGTATCTTCCACTACAGAATGTTACATAGAACACATATAACCTGGCCCACAACAAGAATTTCCCCACACAGCCCTATAAACCTCACACTCCTTGAAACATATCAAAACTTGTCCCCGAAAAACACTGAGATCACCGGACTTGTAGCAAGCACTGAGTCACTGGAAACATCTTTTCACCCCAACTGTTGACAGGATGAGACGAAGTTCCTGTTCCTGGAATTACTGATTCCCAACATTTGCCTTAGGCATCTCTCTCAGGGCTCCAGGTTCTACACAATCCACTGAACCCGAGGTCTCAGGTTGTAACCACTTGTCTTCTTAGCCCCTGAACTCCCAGGCCCACTGCTACAGGGAACCGGACCCACCGACACCTGAAAGCAAAGCAGCAAATGCCAGCAGCAGACGGAAAGGCAAGGCCACTGCTTCATAGGATAGCATTCTGACAGAAATCTTTATCATTAAAGGGATCGTTCATTCACAGAAACCCCTGTGGGTTTCTGTAACTGTAACTTTTTACAGGCATAGAAAGCCACACCTTTCTCCTTTGAGTGGCTGGTGGTTTCGAACTACTGACCTTGTAGTTAGCAGCCCAACTCAAGTAACCCATGACGCCACCGGGGCTCTTATTAAAATGATAGCCACCCCCTTAAAATGATTTCCAACCCCAAACAGTGGGGCTTTGATGGAGAAAATGATGGTACAATGTCATCGCTGTTCGATGCTGTGCATTCCCACGCTGAGGGTCCCCATGGGCAGGGCCGTGCTGCCCTGTGGGTTTTCTAGGGGTTGCCTTTTGCAGGGCAGAACATCCCTCCTTTCCACCACGGAGCCGCGAGTGGGTTCAAAGCCTCAGTCTTTCGGGTAGCAGCC